GGAAGATGAGGAAAAGAAAAGGGTAGGGTGCAGAAGAGAAGAAATGAGAGCTCCAACCTGAGGGAATTTCTGGTGCAAAAATCTGCAAGACAATAAAGACCTTTACCCTTTGGAAGAGGTGATGCTAAGCCAGATATGAGAATGAAAAGATCACTGCAGTCAGATCCCAAAGCCCCTCATAAGCCATATTATCAGCTTGGAGTTTATATTAATTATTCATTGCTGTGTTACAAATTATCCCAAGACTTTGCCACTCAAAACAACAAACCTTTCTTATCTCAGCAGTTTCTGAGGGTCAGGAATCCTGGAGGAGCTTAGGTGGGTGGTTCTGGCTTCGGATCTCTCATAAGGTTGCAGTCAAACTGTCAGCCAGGTGCAGTCTCTAAGACATGACTGGGGCTGAAGACTTCACTTGAGATGGGTGGATCAGCCTCCAAGCTGGCTGTTAGCAGGAGGCCTCAGTTTCTTCCTACTTGAGCCTCTCCATAGGGCTGCTCACAACTTTGCTTCCCCCAGAGTGAACAATACAAGAGAGAGGATTGTATTTGAAACAATTTCTCTGGCCTCTACTCCAGAGCTAGGAGCAAGAGGCAAGAGGAAGTCATCAATTGTTTTTGTCTGGAGAGTTGCCATGAATTTCTAATGTATCATTTAAACTCCTGGAGAGTCAGTACCAAAAAAACCAAACCCGTTGCCGTTGAATCAATTCCGACTCATAGTGATCCTATAGGACAGAGCAGAACTGCCCCATAGAGTTTCCAAGGAGCACCTGGTGGATTCCAACTGCCGACCTTTTGGTTAACTACTACACCACCAGGGTTTTCCAGAGAGTTAGTGAAGGGCTTAGTCTTTGGATTGGCCACAGTCCATAAAACTACTAAGTAAATAATTAAACAAGGAGCCTGATGGCACAGAGGTTAAACTCTCAGCTGCTAACCAAAAGGTTGGAGGTTCAAACCCACCAGCTGCTCTGCGGGACAAAGATGTAGCAATCTGCTTCTGTAAAGATTACAGCCTTGGAAACCCTACTTTGTCCTATCGGGTCACTATAAGTTGGAATCAACTTAATAGCAATGGTTTTGTTTTTTGTTTTTTTAATAATTAAACTAGCAAATAATTAAACTAACTCTTCTTCAGAATTCAATGGAAGCAAAAAGTGAAGCCCGTCCATTAAAGCTCATCAGACTTGAATATTCCTTTGTAAAGCCTTTCCACAGTGAAATGGTTGAAGCCATCACAGCTCATTGTTCATTTTCTTGTAAAGATGGTCTTAGGAGTCTCAACTCCAAACCTCCCTATCACTCTGAACTTGAAAAATATTTCACCTCTTAGAGTCTTGACCTCATATTTAAATTGGGAGTAATAACAGTTACAACTCTCTCAGAGGTTGTTCTGGGAAATAAATGAGTCTACTACATTGTGCGTGCATATAAATTGAGTAAATATAGACATTGAAGCTGAGAACTCCAAAACTTTCAAAACTTTCAAATGGGATAATGCTTAGAATTCCAGTTTGAGTGTCAAACTAGATGTTATCCACGTTTCCTTTCAACTCTATGAGATTACTAAAATCAATGTATTAAGACTATCCAGTAATGAGGAGCCCTGGTGACACAGTGGTTAAGCATTCGGCTGCTAACCAAAAGGTCAGCAGTTCAAATCCACCAGCCTCTCCTTGGAAATCCTATGAGGCAGTTCTACTCTGTCCTATAGTGTCACTATGAGTCGAAATCAACTCGACAGCAACAGATTTGGTCTATTCAGTAATGAGGAATCTCTAGTGGTGCAAACACTTAAGCACTCAGTTACTAACCAGAAAGTTGGCGGTTCAAGTCCACCTAGTGATAGCTTGGAAGCCTGGCGATCTACTTCCAAAAGATCACAGCCATTGAAAAGCCTATGCAGCACAGTTCTCTGACACACATGGGGCCACCATGAGGTGGAAACAACTCTACGTCGACTGGTCTGGTTTTTGGTTTTATCCAGTAACGAATTACACAGTCATATAACCTGCTTTATTCTTGTTTGCTGGAGTCTATCCAAATGGCCCTAATGATAGGAGTCAAAATATCGAACTTGTTCTTTGGAATCAGCAATCCATCCTTCCACTAAGCATGGGGTTTGGAGTCCATGGGTATAAAATAAGTATTGTTTGAAATGGTAACCTGATGCACACAGCCACCCTATGTGCCAATTCTGAGCCTAGGTCTGTGTTTCCCCAGTCTAGACCATGGCTGGGAAGCCCACTTCAAACAACAGATGGTTTAAGAGTAGAATCCAAATATTTCCAAGTCCCCCATCCTTCTGAGTCCCTCTTCCCTTTACCATTCTAGTAGGTACAATCACATGCCCCTTCCTTTGATTCTTCCTTAACTACGTTATTTCTTAGAATAACCAAAGAGAACCTACATTCTCCTGGTTGATGGTGGTCACTTCTCTCTCTGACATCTCTCTACTTCATGGGTGAACAACTGCCCCTGCTTTCATTCGCCAGAGCCTGGCTGACACTAGGTTGTGGTACGTACCAAACTTTCCTAAGTGATATGAGGATAACGTAAGGGAATTATAATGTTGAAAAGAAAAACTTAAAATTAGATATTCGATCTCATTATTCCTTAAGTCTGTCTACCCCTGTCCTTCCACATGGAGTTCCCTGTTGGCTACCTCTACCCATAGCTCCTGACCAATAGCCATGTTTCCATCACCACCAGTCCATGGGGTTTGCCACTGACCCTGCCATTGGACCCTGTCTTCAGAGTCCCAGCGCTCTCCATAGGCTCCAACCAAACTACTTAACCTCATCTCCCAGAGACACTGCCCTGCCCACAAAAAAACATAGCATTTTGCATTATTATGCAGAGAAGTTTAGCTCCTTTTTGTCTCAAATTTCCATGCTTCTAATAGGATTGGGGTAGAATCAATAGGCTCATGGAGAGTTCCTCCAAAACTGAAAGGCAGTCTTTCTCAAAGATAAATTCTGCCACTACATCAAGAATAGACACAGCTTTGAAGTTTAAAAAAAATAACTCAGGACACCATTAATAGATTGCTATGAAGGTTTAATAGACAATATACAATTGGGCAACATATCATTTACCCAGTCAATGAGGGCTCCAAATAATCAGGTTTCTTAAAGTGCTTGTATACAAAGTTATCAGGAACTTTTGAACAAAATTTCTGATTGGTTGACATTTACATAACTTTGCTAAACAATTACAAGATACCATATTTTTGTGCAAATAATGTACGCCTTATGCGTTTGTTTGCTAGCCGTGCACTCCCCACATGAGGCACCCTCACAAGCACTACCATCTCAATTCTCTTCCACAAGTTACTGTAAAAAAAAGTTAGCATAACATGCTTACAAAAATACCTTGAAGGGTGAGGGCACAGCCAACAAACGCAGAAGGCGAGTGTTCTTTCTGAAAAAGCACAGTATTCACAAGATTATTAAGTCACGATTACAAGACCCTTAAAGTTTTGAAAACGGGATATTTTCATCAATCTTGAAAACAGGATGTTTATTAATTTAAATTGTTTTATGAGTTTTTAGTGAAAGTTAATGAATAATGAAACCAGCCTTTTTGGTTTCATTGGGCATGGTCACCTAGCTACTTTTAAAGGTTAGTTTACAACATAGCTAAAAGATTATTTGTTAGAGTGCATAGATTTTTGACAATATTTAACAAGATGACCTGGTTAGTGTCATAGGTAAGAGAATTCTTTATGTTTTCATAATGCAAAACTTGTAATTTTTTTACATAAGTATTTTTTTTGTACCCACTCTATCCTATAGGGTTGCTATGAGTCGGAATCAACTCCATGGCAACGGGTTTGGTTTTTTTTTTTTTTTTTAATAAGTGCAAACCAACTGGTCAGGAGCAGGCAGTCTAAGGAGTCCCTGGGTGGTGCAAATGGTTAATGCATTCAGCTGATAACTGAAAGGTTGGAGTGTCAAGTCCACCCATAGTTGCCTCAGAAGAAAAGTCTGGAGATCTACTTCTGAAAAATCAGCCACTGAAAACCCTATAGAGCACAGTTCTACTCTGACATATATGGGGTCACCGTGAGTTGGAGTTGACTTGATGGCAACTGTTGGCATTGGTGGTGGTGGTGGTGGTGGTGGTAGTGAGGCAGACCAAGGAAAGTGGCAATTACCCAGAGGAGCAGAGTTAGGTCTGGGCATGCCAAGCCACGGTGATCGATTACACACAAAGAGGCCTGGCAGCTGTGTTGAAGCAATGAAAGAGGGAGGCAGACAGTATATCCCAAAAGCCAGATAGAGGATGGGTAACCAGGGATCTGCATATATGGAAAGAATAGCTTAGGAACAAACAAGGCAGCAAATGGTGAAGAAGTATGATTAACTCCCAATGCCCTTTCAGGTTCTTACTCTCAAGCTACCAGGAGTTTCTTGTTGACATGTTTGTCCCTAAATAATTAGTGACCAGCAGGAGTGTTATGTGCTATGGCTGCTAACCAAAAGGTCAGCAGTTCGAATCCACCAGGTGCTCCTTGGAAACTCTATGGGGCAGTTCTACTCTGTCCTGTAGGGGCGCTATGAGTCAGAATCGACTCGACGGCAACGGGTTTGGGTTTTTTTTGGTTTAGCAGGAATGAAGTGAAGGGGAAAATGGGAGCGAGCTTTAAATATTACACATGCCATATTTTATTTAGCCAATTCACTATTTGGGGACATTTAATTGTTTCTAATATTTGATCTTATAAACAAGGCTGTGAATATTTTTTGGCTAAAATTTTTTATATAACAGTACTTATTTCCTTAAAAGGAAGTGGAATACCTAGAAAAAAGAATGTGAATACTTTTCTGAATCTAGTGTATGGGATCTTGGCACAAGATGAAATCCTGGTTTTACCACCAATGTACTTTCCTTATGACTCATATGAGAAATCGCATGGTCATAGCTACTGTACTTTCTAGCCTGATTTAATTCTTCATCTACTGATGAGTTAAACAACAGAGGAAACTGAAGTAAGTTAGCTGGGAGATGTCGAAATGGTGGAAATACAAAAGTTAGAAGCACAAAGTGAAAGAGAACAGGTTTGAGAGGAGAGAAGGGTATAAAGGCAGCCACACAGCAAACATGTTACTCCTCCAGGTCACTCCAGAGAAAAACCTCCTCTTTAAACATGTTGCTCAAGGTACTGTTACATTTTATGCAGCTTATTTAAATTGGTTTTCTAGTTTACTTTTTCCTTGCTCGGTTTCATCAGTTGTCCTCTCCTTTTAAGAGCTACCTGCTTCTGCTTCAAAGATGTCATTTTAACTTTCCTCATTGCCTCTGGGCTGTCTAATTAACTGCATCTTGTTTCTCAGCAATGATTTACAAATCGGAGGCATGATTCTATTGCATAAAATTGACAAGGAAATGAATCATTGTAAGTTCACTGAATTTTAATTTCCTAGTTCTATATGAGGAGTCCTGGTGGCGTGGTAGTTTAAGTGCTCCACTGCTAACCAAAAGGTTAGCGGTTCCAACTTACCACCAGCTCCACTCTAAAGATTCACAGCCTTGGAAATTCTATGGAGCAGTTCTACTCTGTCCTATAGGGTCACTATGAGTCGGAATCGACTCAACAGTGATGGGTTTTAGTTTGATGTGTGCCTATTATGGAAACCCTGGTGGCACAGTGGTTAAGAGAAACAGCTGCTAACCAAAAGGCTGGCAGTTGAATCCACCAGGCGCTCCTTGGAAACCCTATGGGGCCGTTCTATTCTGTCCTATAGGGTTGCTATGAGTTGAAATTGACTTGACAGCAATGGGTTTGGTTTGGGTTGGGTTGGGTTGGGTTGGGTTTATTATGGCATTGCCAGATTGCATGTGTAATTATCTGTTGACTGTCAAGTCCCCCAAATTAATAGTATGTAAATTCGATGTCAACAAAGATAAGTTTTTGCAAACGGCTAATACTCTTAGCTGCTAACCAAAAGGTTAATGGTTTGAGTCGACTCAGAGGTGCCTCAGAACTTGGCACTCTACTTCCAAAAAATCAGACACTGAAAACCCTATGGAGCACAGTTCTACTCTGACACACATGGGGTCACCATGAGTCAGAGTTAATTCAACCACAGCTGTGGTGGTTTTTAAACAGAAACCATAAAATAATGGTTTGGCTTTCTCAAGAGCTTAGTACAATGCCAGACACAGCAAGAATTCACCAAATATTTATTAACTGTCTGTATATGATGTCATAATTTATGCATTAATCACAGTATTTCACTAAAAGGAAATGTAAATGCCATGAGAAAGTCAAATAGATCAAAAACGTATTTTAGAAACAAAGACGGACGCAAAGCTCACAGACAGCTGAGCAGCTGCTGGTTTTCCTCATGTTCTCTTCCTTCAGCAGCCAGGGTGAGGCCATTTGCTCTCTGGTGTAGGGGATAGTGTTCAGGACCCATCAGGAGATCCCCAGGGGACCCTGGCTTCAGAAACGACTCTGAAGAGCTGAACAATCAATCACTAACTGACATGAACTGCAGGAAATACGGTGTGGGGCGGGGAGTGAATTTGTGATTTTGCTTAGAACAAGGTATCCAACCAGCACTTGAAACTCTGAAGTTTTACTTGATCGATCTTCAAGCCAGCTCTTTTCTCTCCCTCCTGTCTCCCAAATTTCTAGCAGCATGAAAATCAAAGTTACTGTTATTTTCCACCCTAACCAGAAACTTTGGGGCCAGCATTTTTTTCTCTCCCAGCCATCTTCTCTGTTTTCTCCCACTCCAGATTCCCCTCTCCTTTATAGTGAAGTTTCTAAAATAAAAGGTAGTCCATCCTTTTGAAAATGGCAGACATTCCCTGACCTGATAAATATAGAGACTCTATAAATGTGGGACTAGTTTGTGGCCAGGCTGACGGACTTTGGGTTGGTCATCGATTCTGCTGCTGTACCTCTTCACTGGCTCTGAGCTCAGAAACAGAGCCCCAGATACCCAGGTCCTCTAATCCACAGCCCGTCACCTTGCAGCTAACATCTGAAAATAAGGACTCTGACGCTCTGAAAGACAAAGTAAGTTGCCCAGTGATGTATTCTGAGCAGGGAAGAGAAGACACCTAACATTTACTAAGTGGTACTAAGTGCTTGTAGTCGCTGGGTAGTGCAAACGGTTAATGGCTCAGCTGCTAACTGAAAGGTTGACAGTTCAAGTCCACCCAGAGGTACCCTGGAAGGAAGACCTGGTATTTACATCTAAAAAATCAGCCATTGAAAATCCTCTGGGGCACAGTTCTCCTCTGACACACATGGGATAACCGTGATTTGGAACAGACTTGACAGCAACTGGTTCTAAGCACTAGGCATAGAGTGAAATACAACTTAAGAATGGATGTGTTTCATGATACATGACAAATGTTCTCTTGTGAAGACATGCAGAAAACAAAATAATTGTTCATGCATTGAGGAACTTGATACCTAAAGGAATTGCGAATCATCTGCTGCTTATGAAATGTAAATAATCCTGCAAGTTTTCACCTGGTTTGTGGGGAGACAGCAGAATTGTCTTCTCCACCAGGATGCACACAGGCACTTCATAGTAAACGAGTCCATTGCTGAGCAAAAGTTCACTCCTTGTCCTGTGTTCCTCCTCTTGGTTACTGGCATTGCCAATCCCCGGGGTCCAGAACCTGAACTACTGCAGCAGCCTCTTAACGGCCCTTGTCTGCCCTCCTCTAATCCATTGTCCACACTCGCCTTTAGAAGTCTTTCTAAAACAAAAATCTGCTTATATCTCTACCCTTCTTGAAACACCATGACAGCTCCTGATTGACTTCCAAGTTTTCAGCATGACATAACCTTTATAATTCAGACCTAGCCTGCAAATCCATTCTCCCTCTCAACTCTGTCCCTTGGATGCAGCTCTCCAGAGGGAGTTTGCCAAATTTACTGCACCTGTCATGCCTCCAAGTCCTTGACTGTGCTGCCACATCTACCTTTATCCTCCATCCTTGTCCCCTGCACCTTCACCTGGCTGACTCCTATAAGTTTTCATAACCAGCTCAGGTATCAGTGCCTCCAGGCAGTCTCCAGCAAGAAAGAGCAGTAAGTGGTTCTCAAGCCACATACGTAATTTTAAATTATCTTGTCAACATATTTTAAAAATAAGGACAAACTGATAAAATTAATTTTAATAAATATTTTGGTTAACAGCCATAGCTGTTAACCACTGTGCCACCAGGGCTCTTATTCAACCAAAATACCCCAAATAACATCATTTCAACATGTAATCAATATTTTAAAATTATATAATGAGACAGATATATTCTTTTGGAGCCCTTGTGGCACAACAGCTAAGCCCTTGGCTGCTAACCGAAAGGCTGGCGGTTCAAACCCACCCAGTGGCTCCATGTGAGAAAGATCTAGTGATCTGCTCCCCATAAAGATTACAACCTAGAAAACCCTATGGGGCAGTTCTAGTCAGTCACATGGGGTCACTATGAGTCGAAATCGACTCGATGGCACCTAACGACAGCAACAACAAATATTCTTTTAGTCCTACTAAGTCTCTGAAATTCAGCGTGTACTTTACACTTATGCCACATTTCAATTTGGATGAGCCACATTTCAAGTGCTTAATAGCTTCATGTGGCAAGTAGCTACCATATTGGACTTCACAGCTCTAGAGAACTTAGGAATCACCCAGATGTCTTAATAAAACACAGAATCCTGTACTATGCTTCCAGAGGTTCTAATTCTGGAGGTCAGGGGTCAGGAATGCTCATTTTCAGCAAGAACCTCAGATGATTCTGATGCACTTATTCCTCACTGTAGGAAATGGGCTTAATGCTAAATGCACCAATTTTGGAGTTAGACCCACAGGGGTTTGCAGCCTGACTCTACTATTTAACCGTGGTATAACCTAATGACTAACTTTCTAGGTCTCAGTTTCCTCACCTGCAAAGCAAGATTAATAATACCTATATAGAGACTTGGGATTGAATGAGAGAGTGGATTTAAGACACTCAGCACAATACCTGGCATGTCTCTAATAATGAGCAGCTACTAAATGTCTGAATGCAATCCACGCCACTCCATCCCTACTGTATGGGAGAGATGTCCCTCTTACCGCCCCACCCTAACTCTGTGCTTCCTTCCACCAGAGCCTGTACCACATTCTGTAGTTGTCATCTGCCTGCTCGTCTACGTCCTCAGCTAGATTGAGAACAGAAAGTAGATCGTGTACATTTTTACATCCCTGTGCCTTGCACATAGTAGGTGTTGCATATACATCACCTTTTAGGAATTGAACTGAATTTGATCAACTGGGTTTCCTCTACTGTAGTAAAACTCTTTATACAAAAGTTCTCTTACAGTAAGGAAGTGTGCAAATATCAAGCGGAGTGGTGGCCTGTTCTGACACTCTTCTCTTTAAAGTCTGTCACAGAAAGCTTTGCCAAAATGATCCACGGCTTCAAAGTGGCACACCTGACAGATCGTGTTATTCAGAGGAGCAAGAGGATGATTCTGGATACTCTGGGCGTTGGACTCCTGGGAACCAGTACAGAGGTGTTTTACAAAGCCAGCCAATATAGCAAAGTAAGACACTCCAAGTCTACCTTAAAGCTGAGTATGCACACATGCCTGAACACCCCATGAGTGTACCCAGAGATATAGGCCTGTGTTCTGTTTACTTTACGCTTCATTTTATACATAGTACTTGGTATATAGGAGCCCTGGTGGCACAGTGGTTAAAGAGCTTGGCTGCTAACCAAAAGGTTGGTGGTTCAAATCCACCAGCTGCTCCTTGAAAACCCTAAGGAGCAGTTCTACTCTGTCATATACGGTCACTATGAGTCAGAATAGATTTAACGGCAACTTATTTGTTTTGTTTTGGGGGCAGGTTTACTTGGTAAATACAGCATTGTTGTATATAGTCTCATGCTCTACTATCTTAGATTTAATATTCACCCATATCCTCAACTAAGTCACTGTATTAAGACCATACACTATTATCATCTCATAGTTTATTATTATTATGACTAAAAATACATTTTTACTTGAGAGTTAGAAGCAACAGCACCTACCCCAGACCCTTCATATAGAGACTTTAAGATTCTCTGGAGAAAAGGCTGGTGGAGCACTCTGAGCAGACAGCAGGCAGGCACTCCAAAGAATGTGCTGGGCATAACTGTTAGTCTGCCTTCCCCAGTATTTGCCCCACCCCACCGCCACCAAAGGGGGGATAAGTCAGAAATATAGACATTCAGGCTCTAGGCCCAGTAGAACTTCTGTATCAGGATCCAGGACTAAGCAACAGCATGTCCTCTCCCTTCTTGGGGAGAGCTGTGAATTCCTCTACAAGGAAGAGAAGACTCTATTAATTAAGGCTTGAATCTAACACAAGTGGTTAAAATAAGGTCATTAATAAATGCTAAGATGAAGAACAACTCTTGAAATTGCAACTTGGCATGTTGTGTCACTTATTACTCTTCTTCTGTGTTACTTATTATTATTCTTTTGTTCCAGATCTATACCTCCAACATATCCAGCACTGTTTGGGGCCAAATGGACTTCAGACTTCCGCCTACATATGCTGCTTTCATTAATGGTGTAGCTGTAAGGAGGTTTTCATGTCCTTTCAACTATTAGATAATCATAAGAATTTTAAAGCCAGGATATGTCAGAAATAATCCAACTTCCAGGTTTTACAGATGAGATCACCAAAGTTCAGAGAGATGAAGTGGTCTGCTCTCCCTCATATGTAGTAATTTCAATTTTCATATTTTTACAGTGAATTGATGCTTTTCAAACCAATTGTGAAGTAGAGGAAATAGGACGGAAAATTTTAGATAAAAACCTCCCCAAGATATCCCAACTCTAACCCTTGAAGACAGACAGATAGATCAGTCAGTCAGTTGGTCAGTAAATAGGAAGGTAGATATAGACACATAGCAAAGGATACAAAACCTAATACCCAGACTCTTTTCTCAATTCCCACAGTACTTCCTTCTCCTTTTGTTAGTGGCCACTGCCACAGTGACCAGTTTACTATTTAGTGATATTCTATTCATTCATTCAACAGGTATTTATTCTATATTTTAGAATGGCCATAAGACGTCTATACTTTCTGAACCAAAAATCAATACTCCTAATTTGACAGAAGATTTTTATGCTTTTCTGTGCATTTGGGGCAGTCTACAAGACATAATTTGGCCATGAGCATGTTGGGACTTCTGAGATATTTTTATAGTTATGAGGACAACAGCTCAGAATATTGAAAGTCAAACTCAGTGGTGCATCCAGAAGTAAATGTTCAGTAACCAGTGGGAAATGCACCAGCTGCATCAAATAGACATAAAAATCTATTTTAAAATAAACTTCTGGTTATTACTAGCTGTTTCATAAAAGGGGAAAGCAAATGGCTGGGATGAAGGAGGAATTAAAACCTTATAGCTAAAAATCATAATTTAAAAATGTAGTTTAAGAGTTAACCTGGGTTCAGGTTTCTTACACTATTTTTGCAACTTCTCCATAAGTTTGAAAGTATTTTAAAATAAAAAGTTACAAAAATATATAGCCTGGTATGGAGTAAAGGGTATTAAACTTATAGCACAACTTGTTTACAGGGTGGGGGAGGGAGGAGCAGCCACCTGATTCCATAGCTTTGTTTTTAAGGGGGATACCATCTTACTGCAGTTCCTGGATGGTACAAACAGTTAACACACTTGCTGAAAACCAAAAGGCTGGAGGTTCAAATTCATCCAGACACACCTCAGAAGAAAGTCTGGTGATCTACTTCCAGAAAATTGAGCCACTGAAAATCCTATGGGACACTGTTCTACTCTGACACATATGGGGTCGCCATGAGTCAGAGTCGACCTAAGCGCAACTGGTTAATTAACATCTTCCCAGGGTCAACGGCAGTGAGAACTTCAACCACTTGGGCAAGACCCAGTCTCCTTGGGGCTCGCAAGATGCTCTCCAAGGTCTTGTCCACCTCCTGGCAGAGGGACAGCCTGTCCCAGCGCCTAGCCATGGAATCAAGAATTAGTGCTAGTTTACCAGTTTTGTTTTCAGAGAGTCAGATCTAAAAACTTTACACCACATAAGATTATTGCTAAGTTAAATCCTTATGGATCCAAAGGCCATTGCATTCAGTACATTTTGTACTTGTTTGTGTGTTTGATTACACAGATTCACTCAATGGATTTTGATGACACATGGCACCCTGCCACCCACCCTTCTGGAGCTGTCCTTCCTGTCCTCACAGCTTTATCAGAAGCTCTGCCTCGAAGTCCAAAGTTCTCTGGCCTTGACCTGCTGTTGGCTTTCAATGTTGGTATTGAAGTGCAAGGCCGATTAATGCATTTCTCCAAGGAAGCCAATGACATACCAAAGAGGTATGGGGAGAATTTGCCCCCATCAGAAGCAAAACACCCTCTGACTTAGAGGGTGGCTGAGTTGGGGATGTTAACATTAGTGCTGGCTGATAAGTCAGCTTACCAAGTTCCATCTCACACCCTATATCCATGCACAAAAGTGTGACTTCAGAAGTGCTAATGAATAATTTCCCTTAGGTTTAGAGAGCCAATCAAGGAACCAGGACCCTGAAATAAATGGGGGGCTCCCATCCCAGGGTGACTCTTGTCATTTCACCATCCCATCCTCAAAGTAGAATTGACACTGACATTCACTAGGGTCCTTCAGGTAGATAAGAACATTCAGAATTTCCTAAACCTGACTGTACATCCCATAGGTCAGAAATGGTCAAATGTTGGAAGTTTCATATGGCTCAACCTATTATTTATTTTGCCACTTCGTCCAGCCTGCCAGGAGAGGAGGCTGTACTGTTGGGTGAACGTTTACAGTTTCTACAAGGTCCTCAGTTTTTACAGTTACTTACTTGAGCCTTCAGCAATCAACAACTTATGACTCTCTGGTAATAACTGTAACATTATCATTTATAAAGTACTTACTATATGTCAGGCAGAAATGATTGATGGATTCATTCAATCCTCACAAAACCCTATGAGGTAGACTCTATTATTATCACCATTTTACACAGGAGAAAACAGGTACAGAGAAGTTGAATAACTTTCCCAAAATCACAAAGCTACTAAAAGGTAGGGAGTCCCTGGGTGGCACAAATGGTTAATGCACTTGGCTGCAACCAAAAGGTTAGAAGTTGGAGTCCACCCAGAGGCTCTCGGAAGAAAGGCCTGGTGATCTACTTCTGAAAAATCAGCCACTGAAAACCCTATAAGTACACTTCTACTCTGACACACTTGGGGTTGTCATGAGTTAGAATCAACTCAGTGGCAACTAGTTAATAAATGAAAAAGCTGATATTCACTGAACCCAGGCACTGTGGCTTCAGAGTCTATGCTCCTGACCACCACAATGACTGACTCTTGGTGAATGAAATTTGGAAATTGCCAACTCTGCTTCTTTGCTTTTCAGATTCCATCCTCCCTCGGTGGTAGGAACTTTGGGTAGTGCTGCTGCTGCATCCAAGTTTTTAGGGCTCAGTTTGAACAAGTGCCAGGAGGCCCTGGCTATTGCCGTTTCCCATGCCGGGGCACCCATGGCAAATGCTGCCACTCAGACCAAGCCCCTCCACATTGGCAATGCCGCCAGGCATGGGATAGAAGCTGCTTTTCTGGCCATGCTGGGTCTCCAAGGAAACAAGCAGATCTTGGACATGGAGGCAGGGTTTGGGGCCTTCTATGCCAACTACTCCCCCAAAGTCCTTCCAAGCCTAGCTTCCCACACTTGGCTGCTAGACCAGCAGGATGTGGCCTTCAAGCGTTTCCCTGCACACTTGGCAACCCACTGGATGGCAGACGCAGCTGCATCTGTGAGGAGGCACATTGTGACAGACGGAGCACCACTTCCCATCGACCACATCCAGAGAATTGTGCTCAGAATTCCAGATGTCCAGTATGTAAACAGACCCTTCCCAGACTCAGAGCATGAAGCCCGCCACTCCTTCCAGTACGTGGCCTGTGCCATGCTGCTCGATGGTGGCATCACTGTCCCATCATTCCACAAATGCCAGATAAACAGGCCACAGGTGAGACAGCTGCTCAGGAAGGTGGAGCTGGAGCACCCTCCGGACAACCTGCCAAGCTTCAACACACTGTACTGCGAGGTGAGTGTCACCCTCAAGGATGGAGCCACCTTCACGGAGCGCTCCAATACCTTCTATGGTCACTGGAGGAAACCGCTGAGCCAGGAGGATCTGCAGGAGAAGTTCAGAGCCAATGCCTCCGGGATGCTGCCCTGTGACAAAGTAGAAGGTCTTATAAGGATCGTAGAAAAACTGGAAGACATAGAAGACTGCTCTGTGTTAACCACACTTCTGAAACGACCCTGTCCACCGCAGGAGGCTTCAGATCTATCCATCATGTAATAACTCCATCCCAGAATCTGTCCTGAAGCTAATCGAGGTCTAAATGACTTTGCATTTGGCGTGATTCAATGATGTGCTTTATTGGTCACGGTCGACTGTTTGGTCTGCCCAGGGTTAAATGAAGCAAGGTGAAGAGAGTCCAGAAACCGAACCGGATACACAGGCAGTCCCTGGGTTACGAACAAGATCTGTTCCTAACTGTGTCTTTAAGTCGAATTTGTAGAGTTCGGAACACGTGCATACGGTTCGTATTTAGCCTTACTTTAGTGCATGGAAAGGCTCGAAGCCTTTTCAATAATGTAGAAGCTGCACATGCAGCAAGTGAAGGTGATTGTGATGAGACTTTGTTGTGAGTAGGGGTTGGTTCAATCATTTCAAAGTGAGGGCAAATTTACATTAACATTAAAGTGCAAGTATGAGTTGTCCGTAACTGACGTTCACAACCCAGGGATTGTCTGTATATGGGAGGAGAAGTTTTATCCTGTAGATTTCTCAAGACAGTTCCAATTACCTAAAGCAATATGAGAAATATGCAAGAAACACAAAGAAATTGATTTTTATAAGCATCCATAAGGCTGAAATTCAAGTCACCTATGATTTTCTTGTAAAGTTAATCTTTTCAGAGGAGTTACTTATGAACTTCATGAACCTCAAAGCTTGACAAGAATGTGAATCTGTGTGCACATTTGCTGGCAGTGGAGAAGGGCTCTGGTCTGTTGTGCTGTTAACAGATTTTTTAGGGCATGAGTTATCACCAAGTTCTTCACAGTGGACAAGGGCTACCGAGTTTAAAAATAAGGCCCTAGTGGGTTTGGTTTTTTGGTTTGGGGGTTTAAGAGGACTGAAACACTTTTCAGTCTATTAGACCAGCATTTCCCATCAGTTTTCCTCAGAAGAATAGTTCCCTGTATAGTGCTCCAGAAGAGTCACACAGTCAAAGAAGATAATATTATACCAAAAATGAGTCAGAATCCACTACACTCAATGGCAGCGGGTTTTTGGTTTAGTGGGGTCAAATCCTGCCCCTGCCACTTACTAGATGTGGCCCTGGGCATGTTACCTAGTCTCATCTGCCTCAGTTTTCCTATTAGTAAAGCAGAGGTAAAAAACAGTCTGAAAAAAAAAGGCAGTTTTCCTCTAGAAGCCATACTCTTAACCATTATCTCACCGTTCAGTACAAAAAGACTTTGAGAAAAATGCCTCAAATAAAGAGTCAGAGATGCAAGAAAGAATAAAAAACAAAAAAGATGTAAATATGGAGTAACTAAATAAATACTGACTTATAAAACAAAGGAGCCTTGGTGGCGCTGTGGTTAAAGTGCTTGGCTGCTAACCAAGAGGTCGGCATTTTGAACCCATCAGCTGCCCCGCAGGAGAAAGATGTGGCAGTCTGCTTCCGTAAAGATTTACAGCCTTGGAAACCCTATGGGACGGTTCTACTCTGTTCTATAGGGTTGCTGTGAGTCAATATCGACTCAGTGACAGTGGGTTTGGTTTTGGTTTGGGTATAAAATAATCAAAATATCTTTTGGGGTTAAAAATTGAAATATTTGCAATATACATATAGGGAGGAGGTTATCAAAGTTAATGTGTTCTAAATTCCTCATGTTATTCGAGAAAAGGGCAGAGATATTAACTCTAGAAGTTAATTCATAAGTATGCACGTTAAAATGTGACAGTACCCATTAGAGGACAGCAGTGGAGTACATCACTTCCGGGTTAATAGAAGAGGAAAATGGAATTAGAAGAAAATAATCAGTCCAAAAGGAGGCAAGAAAGGAGAGAGAAAAGAAACAGAAAAGCAGGACAGACAGCACAATATAAAAAATGGTAGAAGAAATTAAAATATATCCACAATTACAAAAAGAGTAAATGGACTAAATGTTCCAGTTAAAACGAAAAGATTGTCTGAACACATTTTTTTAAAAAAAGGTTTAACAGTTTTATTGATGTCTAATTTACATGCCATTAATTCACCCATTTTATGTGTACAGTTCAATGAGTTTTAGTAAATTTATAGAGTTGTGCAAATATCACCACAATCCAGTACTGGAATACTTCCATCACTCCAAAAAGTTCCCTCGTGCCAGTTTTGTAGTCAATCCCCACTTCACCTCTGGCCCTCAGCAACCATTGATCTACTTTCTATCTCTGTAGTTTTGCCTTTTCTGGACATTTCATATAAATGGAATAATACAATAGTGTCTCATGTCTGGCTTCTTTCACTTAGCATAACGGTTTTGAGATTCACCTACATATGTATTAGTACTTCATTCCTTTCTACTGCTGAATAGTCTTCTACTGTATAGATGATTTTTTTTTTTTTTTTTTT